ATATTCAATTACATTTATATAATTGTGTATATACTTATATATAATTTATATAAGAACAGTGATGGCTGCTGCTAGGACCAGAGGATTTTTTAATGTAATTTTTTAACTGTTTCCTTTTTTAATATTTTTTTTTTATTTATTACAATTTATTTACTTTGTATCCCAGCTGTAGCCCTCTCCCTTGTCCCATGCCCCTCCCCTGGCCACTGATAGGGGAGGTCTTCCTCCCCTTCCATCTGACCCTAGCCTATCAGGTCTCATCAGGACTGTCTACATTGTCTTTCTCTGTGGCCTGGTAGGGCTGTCCTCCACCCCTTACCTCAGGGGGAGGTGATCAAAGAGCCAGCCACCGAGTTCATGTCAGAGATGGTTCCTGTTCCCCTTATTAGGGAACTCACTTGGAGACTGAGCTGCCGTGGGCTACATCTGTGCAGGGGTTTTAAGGTTATCTCCATGAATGGTCCTTGGTTGTAGTGTTATTGATACCAAATTGCTATTAAATCTAGATTTGGGACATGAATTTGTACTTCAGTGGTAATCACTTAAAAATCTGAAGCCAGTACTTGGGAGGTAGAGGTAGATGGATCTTTGGATTCGAGGCTATCCTGATCTCTCAACAGCAACAATAGAAAAAGTCTGAAAACAGCAATAGAAATAAGTGAATTAAAGCACACAAAGAAAAAACTCATAAAAGGAGCCAATGATGGAAGGAACAATTATTTAAGAAGACATAGGGCGCATAAAAGGCAAACTGAAGTGGTGGAAATTGTTGTCAATCTGTGTCAGAGAATTAAGTACAATTAAAAGGCAAAGACTGACAAAGGCCATTGTAAAAGCAAACTTCATTGTCTAAGTGATGTACTTTTGGCCCAAAGAAACATAGGAGTGGAGGATATGGCTCAAGTGGTGGGGTGCTTGCCCAAGGCCCTGGTACTGTTTGTGTGAAGGGGGATCATGGTCTTGTCAGAATTGCCCAAAACGTGTACTGTTATTACCTCTGGCTTCCTCCCAAGGTTCATGTGGGCTCTTGATAGTGGGTGTGCACCAGAGTAAAAGAAATGATTTCACCTTTGTGGGGGACTGGCTTAGAATTGGGTGGTTCCAGATCTGAAGCTGGCCTTGCAGAGCTTACAGAGACTGGGATCTGTGATGGTGTGGCTCAGTGCTGTCTCCTGGCTCTAAACCTGTACTGTAATCTTTCAGTTCCAGAGTGACGCTTAGCGTCTGGATGAAGCCCGAGTTGGTGCCTTGACCTATGAGCCGAGGGGCAGAGGGTGGGCGAGGCCACCTGGGAAGTCATCAGAACTGCTTCTGCTTTATTGTTGGATTGAAAGTACAAGAATACGGGTTCCTCCCAGAGCCGATGCACCCCTCCCAAGGGTAGAAGATGTGGGATTTTGGAGAGGACAGATTGTCAGGGGCTTTCCTGGTGAGTCCCCAGTTGCAGCGGTGTGCTACATACGATCCGTTGCTTAAGCAGATTTGCACATACCTTGCTAGATGGCGTGCAGCTTTTGGGGTGGAAAATGCCCTACCACAGCCAGCCTGCTCCATCCCTGTTTGTAAAGGCCATTAGACTTGGTTGGCTTCTGCTGGCACCCTCACTGTCCTACCGCAGGGATGTCCTCACTCCAGCCCCATGTCATCATTTGCTTGGGAAGGATCTTGATTATGATCCTTTATGCTGGCGGAAATGTGCTGGTTCATCCTGCTAAGCAAGAAGTAACAACCACTTGAGGTTTAGTGCTAAGGCATTTGTTTATCAGTAATTAATCCAATTAGACTCCAGCAGCCGACTGTCTCAGCGAACTGTCCTAGAGGGCAGTGGTGGAGGGCGTTGAGATGGCCTGTGGGCTGGTGAGAGGCAAGAGCTCTTGTGCAAACCAGATGGCTTGAGTAAGTTCCTTGGAGCCACGTAAGGGTGGAAGGAGAGAACAGATTCCACAGAGTTGTCCTCTGATCCTCACACATGTGCCGTGCATACAACATGCGTGTACACAATAAAATAATAAATAACTAGAATAAAAAAATAAAACTTACAAAAAGATAGCCCTGCTAAAGGAAAAGTTAGGTTGCTGCCTATGGCCCCTCCCTCAACCAGAACAGGGGTGCCATGCCTGCTGGGCCTCTTTGTATTTTATACACCACCTATTCCTCACTGCTATTCCAAGCTATAACCTCACTGTCATTCCAAGCTGCCAATTTTGCCAAATGGTTGAAGTAAGGGCATCCCAGTCTCATAGACCCAGCGACTCCCAGAAGCTGATAGTTCTGAGTTGGGCTCATGACAAGAGAATGCACTACAGGAGGGCCAGGCTGTTCTGCAGGCTGCCCCACCACTCAGGTCACATGATCCAGTGGACTTGTCTGTGGCAAACAGGGATGCTGTTCAGAGATGTTGGCAGGCCCAGAGTCACAGAGCAGGCCTTTATTTAGAACACAGAGCCAGACCCTTCTGTCTTCCAGATAACTACTTTCCTTTTCAGATGGTTCTTCATCTGCCATTGGGCCTCAATAGAGACCGAATGTTTGACCTTAAGCTGCCAGGTTACCGTAACTCAAGCTGTCCATCATGAGCTATCATGTGACGCAGAGGGATAAGTGTCCTGGCGGAGGAGCGTGGCAAAGCAAGCAAGCATGGAGCTGGAGCAGCAAGCTGAACACTTCCCTCTTGAACCCTGACCATAAGGGAGACAAGACTGGGAATGGTTTGTGGCTTTCAAAGCCTCAAATAACTGCCCTGAATGACATCTTTTCTTTCACCAAGGCCACATCTTTTAAACCTACCCAAACAGGACCAACAGTTGGGGACTAAGTATTTAAATGTAGGAACTCATTTGGACTGCACCAGGCCTTCAGACTTGGGCCAGGACTTAACACACCAGTGCTCTCCACGCCAGTATTCTGGGACTGGAGCCTCAGTCTTCATGGGCCTCCAGCTTGCAGATAGATAGCATATCACAAGGCTTCTTGAATCTTTGTAAGCACATGAGCAGGTCCTTTGTCATAAGCCTGCATATATAATAGTCATAATATTGACTCATATATAACATTCTATTTCTCCAGTACAAACAGTTTCATTAGCTTGCTTTCCTTTCCTTTGTATCCCTTGAATTCTATTCTACATGGTCTGGAGTCTCTTTTGATTTGGCCTTAGTCTTTCTTGGGTTGGCTTTCAAATCTCTTGGCGAAACCTAGTTGACCAATGTCCAGAGACTAAGTAAGGCAACTGAAACTATATGGGACTCCACATTCTTGGATTAAATTTATTAAGAGAAAGCCTTTATTTTGGTACATTGGCTAAGAAACCAACTGGTATGGAATATAGGATTCCTTTCTCTGGGACTCTAAGTCTTTTCCGAGGAGTTGATGCCTAGTTATCAAGAAGGGTGTTGTCTTACGGCTTTACTGCTGAGAAGAGACACCATGACCAAAACAACTCGTTTAAAAGAAAACATTTAATTTGGGGCTGGCTAACAGTTTCAGAGGTTTAGTCCATTACCATCACGGTGGGGAGCATAGAAGTGTGCAGGCAGACATGGTGCTGGTGAACAAGTTGAGAGTTCTACACCTTGATCTGCAGGCAGCAAGGGGGAGCCTGGATGTGTTTCACATTGGGCGTAGCTTGAGTATTTAAGACCTCAAAGCCCACCCCTACAGTGACACACTTCCTTTAGTGTTGGGGGTTGGTCTGATGCTTGTATTTTGGTGCTAATTACTGGCCCTCAAGATCTGGTATAACCCATCCTTATGTAAACCTGCCTACGACATTATACCTGATTGGTTAATTAAAGGCCTAAAACCTGGGCAGGGCAGAATGGGGTAGGCATGGCTAAGGTTCCTGGGCTTTGGGATAGGAAAATCATGGGAAAGGGACAAATGGACAGGAAAGAAGGAGGAAGAAGGATGCCACCATGGGTTAGTGTGGAGAAGGAACCATGTGGGCTGGGAGAAAGGACTCCAGTAATGGAAAGGCCTAGATAAAGAATACAAGCCAGTACGAGATTATGGATGGAAGGTTATGGATGGAAGGGACCAGATGAGGATGGTTAAGGAGGATGGCATTGGATGGGGGCTGGGAGGTGGAGGGTGAGGTTATTGAGACAGCCTAGGTGGAATTATCTGCCCAGCCCAAGGTGTTTGAAGGCAGTTAGAAAACCTAATTGGTGTCTGTGTTTTATTTAATTGTGATAGCGGGTTAAATAATACTGATGAAATAATTATAGGGCTAATAATAAACATTATATAGCTCAACATCATTTTTAACACCAACAATACTCTAACAAGGACACACCTCCTAATAGCACCACTTCCTATGGCCAAACATTCAGACCCTTGAATCTACGGGTGCCGCCCCTATGCAGACCACCACTGATGTTAACCTTTCTGTAATCAGATTTTCATCACGCCCTCTCCTTATGGGTCCTGAATCCCACTACAGACCTAAGGTTGTCTTCTAGTCTTCTTCCTTGGCTAGTTCCCTCTGGCTCTCTCTCCCTCTCTTCCTCCTCCTCTGGCTCTCTCTCCCTCTCTTCCTCCTCCTCTGCCTCTCTTCCTCCCTCCGCCCCTTCCTCTCCCTCCCTTTGGGTGTGTATGTGTAATAAGGGCATAATTACAAGCACATGCCGCTACTGTATCTCCTGTATGAACACTTTCTGAGAAGTTTAGGTGGTTAGAAGTTGGTCGTCATCAACAACAAGATACTAATAGCTTATGACAGATCATGACACTAACATCTTCATGTTCCTTTTATTTGGTGGTGGTGGAGGCAAATACTGCACTACAGCAGATGAGGAGTGTTCTCAAGGTTGGATCTTGATTCCTGACCAATTTTCCCTGAAAAGAATTTGCACCACAACATTTGTTTAGGATTAGATCTATGTGTTTACACACTTCAGAGTAGTGCTGTTGACACTAAATCATTTAGTCACACACACACACACAAAGCTCAAATTGTTTTTTTTGTTTTTTATTTATTTATTTATTTTTTTTATTTTGAATGCCGTGCTTTCATAGTTTTAAAAAGCGTTTCTTCTGAAGAATTTTCTTTCATCACAATCACAATACCAGACTTCTGGTGGTGGATTAAGTGGTCTAGGATTCAATGAAATTGTGCACAATTGCCGATCCAAACCTGAAATTTAAAGCAGATTAGCGATTTGTTTTAGGACTACTCACCCTGAATTTTTGGGCAGGGGTTGTTCTTTTTGGTTTTTGGTTTTGCAAGACAGGGTTTCTCTGTGTAGCCTTGGCTGTCTTGGCCTCGATATGTAGACCAGGTTGGCCTTGAACTCACAGAGATCTGCCTGCCTCTGCCTCCCCCTCACTCTGAAATTTTAGTACAACTATCTTTTTAGTAACTGTGTACAATAAAAAATGTATTTTAAGATAGAGATGCAATTAAAATACGGGTGCCAGGGAGATGGTCAGTGGGGAAAGGCAATTATGACTAAGTCTGACAATTAGGTTTGATCCTCTGCCTCAGACAGTGGAAGGAGAGAACAGACCCTCACCATTGACCTATGACCTCTTCATGCTCACATGTATGAGCACATATAAGATAAAATAATGCAATTTTTAAAATTTAAATATAGGGACTGAATCAAAGTTTCTTTCTTTAGACTCTAGTTAATAGGCACATTACTGGATTATATTAAAATGTAATAGAAATGTGATTTTTATTTTGATGTCCTAATTCTAGACTATTTTCCCTTTTCTACATTGTCTATCAGATAGTCTATGCCAACTTTGTATCTGTAGTTGTTGCTGTCTCTAAAGTCATGCCTGCTGGAGCCCCTTCCCCAATCATAACACTTTATAATCCTGAGCAGGTGCTTGTATGTGACAGGAAAGGTCCAAGGAAGGCTTGCGTCACTACACAATGAGACAAAGGCTGGCGCATTTCATTGATGGCATTATAACAGAACTTCTCTGTGCTCTTAGGTGCTTTCAACTATTGAAACAAACATGTCATGATATGAAGAATGAAAAATATTAATCTCGGGAATATGACTAGAAATGCTGCCGTTTTTTTAAAGTATGTTTTTATTGCTGGTTAGTTAGAGACAGTTTGTCTGTGCAGCCCAGCCCGGCCTTGAACTCATGAAGCTTCCTGCACTTCCCTCTGTCTCTCAAGTGCCGGGACCGTGGGTGTGTGCCACGACAGCCGGCTAAAGATCATGTTTATATTTAAGAAGGTGTGATCCTGTCTGTAGTCAGTATCCATGTGACTACTCAAGGCCTGTGGGTTTGAAGAGCAGTCATGGTCTTCCTGAGAACTGCAGTGTCCAATGGAATTACATTAGTGTAGCTTACATGTATGACGAGTGTTCAACAGCCCGTAATTCTTACAGGAGGATTTACTGTGGGATTGTCACACACTCATTTAACCAGGTGACGGCCTCACAAAGATCCTCCTGCCTCTGCCTCCTGAGTGCCAAGGTGGAAGGTGTGTGCCACCACTGCCTGGCTTCTTTATATTTTGTTATCACCTAGCAAAATGTAGTTTCCATATCACTTTGTGGCACCTTCTTTGGATGTCATTATTAAAAAATAAAATGGAGGACTCGAGGACTGCACTTGCTGAGAACCACTATTTATTTGTGTGTTGTCTATCCATCTATCTGTCCATGACCTTGAATGAAGGATTGTCTGGCCTTCACCTCTGCACTGCTGCATGGTGTTTATGAGGTGCTGAGATTGACCTAGGATTGGGTGCTTGCCAGCATTTTACCAGCAGAAGTACACATCCAGCCCATTGGCTGAGAACTCTATATGTTCTAAACACTTGAATGATATCATACCATTGTTAAAGTAGACAGCTAGGCCAACTATAGGAGGAGGGAGGTGGTTGTCACAGAGACACTTTGTTTGTGATTGGGCACATTCTGAGCCATTATTCCTTCCCTAAAGGACTCTTAGCTCAGCCTCCAACCCCTTTCTTCTCAGACTCCATCTTCCTGAGTCTTCCAGGAGCCATCTTTGCCCTCCGTGTAAACTTTTGTCCCAAACTTCTTTTGATCAGTCTCCAGTCCCTGTTCCATTTCTCAAACTACCTGGCTCAACTTTCCCAAGTTCTGCCTACGTGATCCTTCCTAATGCTGCTGTCTGCTATCCTGTGAGGACCTGGGCTTTAGCCTGGACGTGTCTTCTGTCCTGACTCTGACATCCCTCCAGACTGCAGCCGTCTTCTCTGGAGACAAGAGACAGAAGGGAAATCCTTCCCAGTTTTGCCATTCTTCAGCTCATTGTGTAGTCCAGGTCAGCTATGAACTTTCAGGCCCTAACCTTCAGCCTCCAGAGAAGCTGTCTACATGAGTATCTTCAGTTTTCTGCTTTTCAGTAAAAAGAAAGGGAAGCTTTTTATGGAAAACTAGTAAGCAGTTAGTAGTATGGGTGACCTGGCTGTGACAGGCAGTATAGCTTCGAGGTGAACCATGCTAGAGAGGAATACTGTCTAAATGTGAATTCTGCCTCTTTCCTCCTGGATGCGGGATTTAGAAATGGGTCCATGAGAGGTCTTGGAAACTTGGCTCTCCCTGTTTAAAACAGCAGCACTCGCCCCAGAAAGCCACTTAGGGATTAAACACCTGCCTGCCATAGTGTAGGATCCCCCTCAAAGGTTGGGGATCACTCACTTAGAAACTATCAGCAATTCACTCAATGAGCCAAATTCCCTCAATGAGTGACACACCAATACCTGAGGCAACATGGGTGCTATTTAAGTTGGGCGTCCTGAGAATATCCATGATCTTCCTTGTCTACCTCAGGACCCTCACAGAGGCCACGGCATACAGACGTGCTACCGGTGATGGGGGAGGTTGGAATTTCTGAACCGTGGTGTAAATTATTAATTGTTACAGGCATCTAAACTAGAATGAAAGGAAGGTTTCCTGAGCAGACCACCAGTTACACTCAAGAATTTGTTTCTAGGACTCAGAGGGTCAGCTCGCTAGGACACTGAAGGGTTTTCATCCTTTTGGGCTCACATGCAGGGAGCTAGAAAGAAAGGAAGAAGCCGGGCCCCCCTCCCAGATCTTCACATGTATCTCTGCCCCCAGACTGGCTGGTCCCAGTCATGCCCCCTGAGGCAGTAAGCCTCCTTGACACGCTGACCTTGGCACACAGGCAACGGCGAGCTGCTAGCACTTACCGTCCTCATAAAAGGGCAGGGAGTAGCCTCTTTGGTAAGTCGTTTCATTATACCACGTGTTTGTAGGCCTTGACAATTTTTCAAAACAAATGTATCGAATGAGGGTTAGCTGGTCGAGTTGAGGCTGATATGGAGTTATGCCCCGTGGGATTTCCAAGCCTATGAGGGGCCTACACGGAAACAAAAATGGTTTGCTGAGCACCTTTGGACAACTGGTCCATCTTCTCACGAGTTGCAACCTAGGAGCCAAAGCACCCTTTTAGCTAGACTAACCCCGAGGCACATTTTGGTGTTCTGTACAACAGTTGTAACCTTCCCATCCCTCCCCCCAACCCCCCAGCTATCCTCCAAAGATGAATGCAAGCAGGAAATTAAAACGTAACGGCTTATAATGCCTTCATCCACACCTGGGAGAGTTCATTCCTTGGCGTGATGTGCTTGAGGCATGAATGTAAGTATATTAGGACAGTAGGTGGCACGTCCTGAGAACCTTGAAAATACACACATATTTTGTCTCGACAAGTCTATCAGTTAAGGATGTCAACAAAGAGAAGCAATGCTTATCAAGGGACTTTTCTGCTAATAGAAAGAATGGGCACGCCTTCGTTGAAAATAAGGGACGCTTTGGAGGTGATAGACATGTCCCTCCCACAAAGGTGACAAGCAAACTCATGATGCACTTCATTGCTTCAGGGTTCTTTTTTCCATCTTAGAATGACATTGGATATAGTCAATATATTTAAAAATTTTTCTCCAACAATGCACTAAATCAACAAACTACACACACACACACACAATCCTAAGAACTGTATTCTTTTTGTGTTCATTGTATTTTATTTTATTTTATTTTAGTTTTTTTTTTTCCTGGTGCTAAGCATCCAACCTGGTGCCTCCTACATGCTAGGCAGGCGTTATCACAGAGCTACATCCCCGGTGCTTTCTTCTTGACCAGATGCACTAGCAGGGCCAATTGGAGCCAAGGGGCCTTTGGCAGAGCCAGCATGTCCTGGGAAGACTGCTCTTGGGCACTAGCCCTATAGGATACCACGATAGGGGCAGAGTGAGGAGAGTGTTGATGTGTCTAGCCCTGGCAGTGGGCACCTACCATTCCCTCTCTTACTTGTTTTCTAGTAGAGGACTTAGCTCTAACTAGTTTATTAAGTCATGATTGGGGGTTCACATCTAAATAGTTCCCAGTGACTCCAAAAGCTGTGGTAGAAGGTTTCCTGAGCTCGGCATGAATTTTGACACCAGCCAGGTAATATAGTGAGACCTTATTCCTGGAAATTTAAAAACAGAAGCTACTCTAGGCAAATACTTGATTTAGTAGTAAGAGCCTTGAACTGGAGCTCAGAAACTATGGATTAAAATTTAAACCTAACATTTACAGTAATTGTGTGGCTACAGTTGAGTCATCGAGATGGCTTATCAGGCACAGGCTGGAAACCTGGGTTTGATCCCTGGGTCCCACACGATGGGAGGAGAAGACCCTAGTTCTGAAAAGTGTTTTCTGACTTCCACACATGCGCTGTGGCATGAGCAGGCAGATGCACAATAATAACTCAATTTAAGAGCTAAAGATGCATCCTTCCTCCATGCTGTACTTCTGACTGGATCAGGATAAGCTCAAAGCTGCTTCCAGTTTCATAATTTAAGTGTAGACTACACCCTGCTCTAAACAGAGGTGGCATGCCAACAGCTATCCCTGGTGAGAATAATTGGAGATTGGCTAGATGGAAGTCACCTAAGAGAAGGGAAACTGTAATATACAGTAGATGGGGAGCTTCAAGTAACAGTAGTCATGCCAAGTGCTTAATATGCCTTACCATTTTACATTGATTCTTTTACTTGGGAGTATGAGATTTAGAGAACATGAAAATTGCCCCAAATCAAACATTTTATAAATTCCTCAAACACTTTTACAGGCTTGAGAGATGGCTCAGCGGTTAAGAGCACTGTCTGCTCTTCTAGAGGTCCTGAGTTCAATTCCCAGCGCTGCATGGTGGCTCAAAACCATCTGTAATGAGATCTGGTGCCCTCTTCTGGCGTGCAGGAGAACATGCAGATAGAGTGCTCATATACATTAAGTAACAAAATAAATGAATAAATAAATTTAAAAATTTGATGCTTTTACTTCCTAGAGTTTATAGTTTTTCTGAACCAGAAAATGAGGTTAGCGTGTCTATGGTTATTATGTTTTTTTCTTTTCTTTTTGTGAAAGCCACACATAGATAGGAAAGAACCAAATTTATAACTCTACTGAGAATGAAATCAAATGCTACTAAGTTTAAGTTATTTGGCCAACCTGAAATTCTAACCTCATAATGTTTCTTAAATTTCATAGATGATTTAATTTAAAAAATATCTATATTTATTGCTGATTATGGAAGTAACATTCTCCTCTGAGAGAATCTCTAAAATAGAGAAAAGAGTAAAAAAGAAAAAAGTACAAAGTACTAATACTATTACTACTTACGAAAAATAAAAGCAAATCCAGATATTGTCAATGCTAGGGATGGAACTCCCTGGTGGAAGCACATGCTTAGACTTGAGGCTTTGGGTTCCATTTCAGCAAAAGTCCACCCACAAAACCAGTATCAAAAAGCCCCAACCTTTTTAATAGTTTTGTATATTTTCACCTCTCTTCCATCCATTAGGTAACACTTGTGATTAACATTACTATTATTGTTATTATAAAGATTATGCAGCTATCTCTGTGAGTTTGAGGCTAACCTGGTCTACAAAGTGAGTCCAGGACAGCCAAGTCTACACAGAGAAACCCTGTCTCAAAAAACAGAACAAAACCTAAAGAGATTGTGCAGCTAGAAATTAGAGAAATGGCTCCGCTCTTACAGAGAAACAGAGTTCAGTTCCCAGCACCCACCTGGGGCAGCTCACTTCTGGCCTCCATGGGTACCTGCGCACAACCCCTACCCCCATACATGTAATTTAAAAATTAATCTTAAAAAAGATTATGCAGCTCACTTCCCCCTACTTATCATGTTCGCTTTGATGACATTCTTAGAAATTAAGATTTAGGGACTTCTCACCTTGTGTCCCTCTTCACGCTGTAATCAAAATGAACTCTTGCCAGTTGCCCAGGGACATAGCCTTTGATGTCCTTTCCTTGGCGATTGATAAATACACTGGAAGAAGTAGTCGAGAGAGAAGCGGTTATTACAGCCAGTTCCTTACAGAAGCGTGGCAGCTGGTGTGTGATAGATAATTTATCTGGACTTTGTGCTCTGTTCCAAGCCAGTGGAATTTTCCAGCCATTTGGTTGTTATTCATAGCATGCATCTTCCCACCAGTTCTGAGTTTGTAGTATTGGCTGGTCGCCCTTCCCCCCAAACCTCTAAAACTTATAATAGAATGCCATTTATTTCCGGGATTCATAGGGCAATATTTAGCATGTTATCTATTAGGTCAAAATAGCAGGAAAAAGAGAGGGTAATGGAAGGAGGATGGACGGAGGGAGGGAAGGAGGAAGGGAGGAAGGAAGAGAAGGAGGGAAGACAAAGTGTGAAAGTCAATGGCAAGACAGGAGAGACAGTTTTAGGAGCAGTTAACAGCACTGGCTGCTCTTACAGAGGACCTCGATCAGTGTCGAGTACCCACATCTGACAGCCCACAACCTTCCGTAACTCTAGTTCTGGGGAATCCGAGGTCTGGACCCCGAGGGTACCTGCACACGTGTGGCACACACATGTACACCCAGCAACATACACACAAAACAAAATAAAATCCTTAAAGTCAGTGAAACAGATGTTGATAATTGCTGAAACACAGGAATAAAAAAGATGAAGATTCTTTCTTTTTTACCTTTTGAAATGTTTGTAAAATTCCATAGTAAGTTTTTTTTTTTTTTAATTTAACTGTAATGATTAATTATATAGGACCGTGATGTCAAGGCACGTGGTACTGGAAAGTCGGGTGAGGGGTTCTAGCCTCACCTAGGAGAGCTGGAGTGTGACAAAGGACAGGTCTCTCTCTATGTCCTTGGCTGGCTCTGAACCACCTTCCTGCTTCAGTGCTGGGATTACCAGTATATGCTACCATCTTGGTTGCTGTTTTGAAGCATAACCTGAGCCACCCACAGGGGAACTGGGAAGAGGGATGTCAGGGGTGTGAGCATGAGGTGTGTTTCCACAGTTGGAATGCAGTGGTGAAGCCTCAGCCCCCACGATGGCGCTGCTGGGGAGTGGTAGAACCTGTGGAGAAGGGGTTTCGGGGAGGACCCTAAGTCATTGGTGATACTAAGGCAGGAGAATAGGATGAAACGTGCAGTCCAAGAACCTTACTATGAAAGCTGGAAGATTAACATGTAAAAGAAGCCTACTGACAGATAGTAGAGAAAGAGCTAGCTGCTGAGCCACTAAGGAGAGCCCGGGATCTAGGGTTTACATAGGCTAAGAGTGTGGGGAAGAGTCTCTAGAGCAGGGAAACCACAGAAGCCAAGCTGAAATCAGTTAAGTTTAGAGAGTGTGTGGATGAGTTAGCTTTTTGTTACCGTAACACATATCAGATAAACCAGCTTAAAAACACGAAAGGTTACTTTGCCTCACGGTGTCAGTCTGTGACTAGTTAATTGTCTTGTCGCTTTGGCCATACAGCACATCCTGGCAAGAGTGCAATCTTCTAAAGGTTTCACCATCCCTCCATAGCACCACTGGCAGGAGATCAGGCCTTCAACATACCTCCTGGAACCATTCAAGGTCTGAATGATTGCAGGGGTCCGAGTGGGCCTGTCTGTCTAGTATGAATCAAGGCAAGTGCAAACAGATCCCAGAGAAATTTTCTGAATAACTACAGGTTGTCTGGGCCTGCCAAGTGACTAAGGTAATAGGGCTGAGTGCTGAGTTACAGCCGGGGATTAAGAGGAGAGAGAAGTTGGCACAGAAATGTCGAACAAATAACGCCACCGAGTGTGCGGGAGGTGGAGGTGTCGCTCAGGCAGGCCTGCAGTTCTGGGCCCTGGGGGTAGAAGGAGCCTCCTAGAGCCAAGCTACAGTTCGTGAGGAACCACGGGCATCCTGGACATGGTTCTCCAGGTGTACTGCTGTCTGTGCAGCAGGCTGCTCCATCTTCTCTGGCATCATCTGGTGCCAAAACCTGCTGAGGCTCTGAAAAAGGTCAGCCGACTCTAGTCATTGCTTTGAGAATGGAGCCATCTCCTACTGGCCTCAGGTGGCACAGCCTGCTGTAGGTCCTGAGGCAAGAACCCACAGCTGGTTGGGCAGAAGTGGAGAGAGTGGGAAAGTGAGCGTTTTGGGGACGGGAGGCAGTGTGGAGGAGTGAGGCGATGTGAGGAAGAAAGAGGCGGCTCATGTGGCTTCTAACTTTTCTCTCTACCTTTTGCGTTTCCTGCTGTCCCACCCACATGTATCCCCACTTCGTTGGAGCTGCCTGCTGATCCCAGGACCTTACACATGCTATGTGGGCTTTCTATCTCTAAGTCCCATCCCCCCTTTATTTTTATTTTGACATAGGGTCTCTGAATTGCCCATGCTGGTCCTAAACTCACGATCCCCCTGCCTCAGCCACTTGCTTGGGTTACAGCTGTTCTCCACCTTGCCTGCCCAGCTCCCAAGCTCTGACATGTGATCTTAACCTGGAACACCAGAAAGCTTCTAATCCATCCATTAAAGTTGTGAGTTTTTTGTTTGGTTTGGTTTGTTTGCTTTTTTGAGTCAGGGTTTCTCTGTGTAGCCTTGGCTATCCTTGGTCTACTTTGTAGATCAGGCTGGTGCCTTGAACTCACAGAGATCCACCTGCCCTGCCTCTCTGAGTGCCACCTCATCCAGCTTAGGTTTTTGTTTTTTTAAGAGAGAAAAAAAAATTGACTTAAAGAGAAACGCACCAGGCTTGGCCCTGGGCTTTGCAGTAAGTACTCAGCTTCCCCCCCTGGAGCTTTGGCTTGAGGGAAAGAATGAGTGGATGGGAATGCCTCCTGTCCAGACCATGCTTACAGATTACTGGCTCCTGACTCAGTTCTAGTGGCTGAGCCAGCGGTGTCTGCTTACACTGCATTATTTGTGTGTCCCTGACGGGTTGGCTCTCTGAAAGGGTGGGCTCAGCCTCCACAAGAGTAGATCTGTCCCTTGGGAGGAAGGCTGTAACCAGAGCAGGATCTGGACTTAGCCACAGTCAACACTGAATATGTACGGGTGAGTTCAGGACTCTGTCTGTCTGTCTTTGCAGCATCACTGCCAGAAGGATACCATCATGTGCCCTTCTGAGTCACCTGTGCTGGGCTCTCTAGCCTTAAAGATAAGCTCCCGTTCCATTCTCAGGCACCTAGCAAGGTAAACAGGAACTCTCCGTTTTTATAGTGTATACCAAGACTAATGATGACACGTACTAAGGGCTGCCTGTTAACTGTAATACTAGGGTTGAGATGGGTAGGAAATAAATCTTAAGAAACAAAGCGATGGAAGTTGTGATAAAAGAACTGAAGGCACCAGGTAAGGAACACAAGAAAGTAGGAGAAGTCTTTTGCTGGCTGAGGTGATCAAGAAGCGACTGTCTCACTAGCTGGCAAGGGAGTTGAGACATTCTATGTGAAAGAGGACGAGAGCATGAGGGAAATAGTGGTCCTGGGAGAAGGGAGAGCCTGCCCGAGGGCCTGGGATGTAAAGGAGCATGCTCCCCCCTACCCTGGAAGGGCCAAGAAGGACCAAGGACTCTAGCTGGTAGGAAGAGAAGAGCCAGTGCTGTGAGGGTTTTGAGGACACAGCAATGAATGAGGTTTGATTCCAGATGTGGTGCATTGAAGGTTTTATTTCAGGGAGGGCTGTGCTGCAGCTTAATGAAGCTCAGGCTAGAGAGAGTGGATTGCTGGCGGATGAGAGTGTGTATGGGTAGAGATGAGCAGGGAAAGGCAAAGGTGACTTGGGACCCCTGAGGCAGTGATCTGGGGACACAGCCTGGATATTGAATGGCCTCTAAAGGCCCATGTGCTTCCGGCTTGGTCCTTAGGCCATGGTGCTAAAGAGGTAATGGAGCATTTAAGAGCTGGAGTCTGCTAAGAGGAAGATTGGTCGCTGGTGATGTAACCTGAGGGGGATGTTGGGACCCCCTTCCCTCTGTCCCTCTTTTGCTTCCTAACGACACAAGGCTAATGATGGTTAATCTCGGTTGTCAACTTGATGGGAGTCTAGGAGACACAGCTCTCTGTGTTCTGTGTTCTCTCCAGAGAGGTTTAACTGAGCTGGGAAGATCTACCTTGAATGCAGGCAGCACCTTCCAGCCCTCAGGCTGCGGTCCAGACTGAAGAAAAGGGAGAGTTCCAGCGCTCACCCCTCTCTGCTTCCTGACAGCAGACATACTGTGACTAGGTGCTGCCAGGTCTTCCCTGCTGTGATGGCGGACTGTACCCTTAAGAGCCATGAGCCCACATAAACCCTTACTTAAGTAGCTTTTGTCAGGTATTCGTCGCAGCAGTGAGAAAAGCAGCTATTACACTGCTCTTGCGGTGTTCTGTGCCGCCACAGCCACAGAGCTAAGCTGACTAGCATGCAAGCATTCTGATAGAACTAGCCTGGTGGCAGACGGGATGGAGTTTGCTGAGGCATCAAGTACAGTGCAAGTAAGTGGAGGGACACTCTTCCTCATGTGATGCTGATGAGAAGCAAGAGGGAGCAGAATACAGACAAGCCAGAGGCCCTGGGGTGCTCTGCACACTGTCCTGCTCAAGCCCTTGTGCTCCCCAGGGGCTTGGCTCAGGACACAAGTGATGGATGTAGTTCCACAGAGCTCCACAGAACAGCAGCAGCCAACACAAATGTTTCCATTTTCCCTAGGAGATGAGCTCACAGAAGACAAAGTGCTCTCACCCATACACAGAAGGACCAAGGACCTGAGGGGAGGAAGGGATGAGTGAATGCAGGATCCAGTCCTGATTTCTTTCCATCCTGCTTCCTCCTGGTAGAGCTCAGAGACAGAAAGGTGGGTGCTTTCCTTAACAGAAAATTCTTTCTTGTTTTAAATATTTACTTGCTTATCGTATGGGTGTTGTGTGTGTGTGTGTGTGTGTGTGTGTGCGCACATGTGTGCCACTCTTGTAGAAGCCCAGGCTGGCCTCGAACTCAGAGATCTGCCTGTCTCTGCTCCCCAAGTGCTGGAGTTAAAAGTGTGAACCACCACTACCTCTCGAGAAGGGAATTCTTAAAGCATCCAGGAAGGAGGTACCCTTCTATCCACTCACCCCTTTTGGGAGAAAAAGGAAACTTTTCTTCATTAGCCAAACACTTAAAATAACTAAAGGAAAGTAAAAACAATGAACTTCTCAAACCCACCAGGCTACTGGGACTCCAAGAGGCTGGCCCCAGCTATGACATGAAAAGAGGTTTAAAGGGATGAAGAGAGGGTGTAGTGGGGGGAAAATAAACTATTGCATATTTTCTCTCTTACACAGAATCATCTAATACCCGTGGCATGCAGCCAGAAAGGGGACTGTTTGCAGGGAGCAAGGGGACCAGTGAGAGTTGGAGGGAAGAGGAACAGAGAGAGGTAGACAGGTGCAGTGATTTATGTGTGTGGAAACGTCATGAAGAAACCCATTTATTTTTATATAATGACTTAAGAATAACTTTTAGAAGTTAAAGAAAGGGAAGAGTCCGGCCCCCAGGGTGTGAGGCTTGCTGCCCTGAGATTCCAAATCTCTGTGGGATTCCAAATCCCATTAGAGCGGGCTTAGGACTTACAGATGGTACCTGCTGCCTCCCCCAAGATAAATCCAGCACAGTAAAGCATGCTTATAGGGCTTATTAGCCTATGTGATAGATGGACTTGGAGAATGAATGCAAGTCCCCTTTGGCCTCTCTCTGTACAGTCAGCTTTCATATCGCAGAGAATTGGAGGTGGTTAGATTTACCCCAAGGAGAACAAATGTTTCTGGTTCAAAGTTTGGGCTTGAGTTCTTCATTCTTCTTGGTGGAGCCCTTCCCAAGAGAAAGACCAACATCTGTCTCGTATTTTGGGTATTTGGTGTTTCCCTTTAGCTTGGCTTCTACAAAGAAGTAATTTCTTATCTTACAACTTAAGCTAGATTTGAGGCTGCAGGTTGGTTCAGTGGTTTAGACTCCTTGATGCTCTTCCAGAGGATCCTGGTTCTGTTCTCAGCACACCAGGCAGCGTACAACCACCTGGAACTCCAGCTCCAGGGCCTACTGTTCTTCTGGCCTCCAGAGGCACTTGCAAGCATGTGGTACACACACACACACACACACACACACACACACACACACACACACACCTACAAAACCCCCAACTTTCTCTAAACTCGAGGGCACTTCACTAGACCCCTCTGGCATCCGTTGGGTGATTCCAGTCCCCTGGGCTCCTGCCTTTCTCAGCCCTGGTGGTTTCTGTATCCAAGAGAGCCTTACCTAGGCGGACTCAAAGGTCGTCGATCTACAAATTCTCGTAGTCGGATGGCCGTCATGACGGATGGGACTCTGAAAAAGTTGTGGAATGAAATTTCACATTGGCAATTTACATACATCTCCAGGCACTAGTGGTCGGCACAGTTTGGATCTGGATTGTCTCCAAGTGGCCGGCAGGCCTGGGATGGGTGAGCAAGGTAGCTGAACCTGAGCCCTTTAAAGCAAACCAGCAAGCAGGGTTCCGCCATGGTTTCTGCCTCTAGATTTTTGCCTTGAGTTCCTGCCTTTGCTTTCCTTCATGATGGTCTGTGACCTATTAAGATACATAATCCCCATCCTCCCACAAACTGCTTTTAGTCAATGTCTTAACCACACCATCCAAGAAGTAGTCTGCAGGGGGCAGAGCCTTTCAGAGGCTCTCTGTGGCAGGCTCCTGACTTGTTCCCTGTTTCTCCTTCTGATGGCTCTGCCCTGCAGACTATCAAAGAAGATGCTGAGACTTATGATCAACCTTTGGGCAGACTGCAGGTAATCTTATGAAAGAAGTGGGAAATAGTAAGATCTGGAGAGGACAGGAACTCCACAAGGAGAGCAACAGAACCAAAAAGTCTGAGCACAGGGGTCTTTCCTGAGACTGATACTCCAACCAAATACCATGCATGGAGATAACTAGAACCCCTGCTCAGATGTAGCCTATGGCAGTTCAGTGTTCAATTAGGTTCCATAGTAATGGGAACAGGGACTGTCTCTGACATGAACTGATTGGTCTGCTCTTTGATCATCTCCCTCTGAGGGAGGAGCATCCTTACCAGGCCACAGAGGAAGACAATGCAGCCATTCCTGATGAGACCTAACAGAGTAGGATCAGAAGGAAGGAGAGGGGGACCTTCCCTATCAGTGGACTTGGGGAGGGGCATGCATGGAGAAGGGGGAAGAAGAAAGGGATTGGGAGGGGCGGAGGGAGGGAGCTACAGGAGGGATACAAAGTGAATAAAATGTAATTAATAAAAAAAATTTAAAAAAACAAGTGAACTAGGCCATCCCGGAAACAGCTCCCTGATGTTTGTGGGGTTGTCCTCCAAGATTCCTCTATTCCCACCCAAACCTAGCTGTTCTTTTCTTTAAGCACCCCCTTCTCAATATTGAGCCGTTTTCTCTTTTCATACGCACCTTAAACTGTGTTGTTTCTTGTTTTAGTTCTTTATATTAATTCTGATTATTTACTGGAAAATGTGGCTTGCCATAAGCAAACCAGTATGTTTAAACATTCATGTGAGTCATAGTGGGGAGAGAGTGGCTGACTGGGTGGGAGACTGAGGTAGGAGTGGGGCCTACTGTTTCTGGAGTCCAGTGAAGAGTTGTGAGATTGTTCACACTTGGGTAGGCTGTCCACTCTTTGTATACAGAGGGCTGTCTCTCATTTGCATGAACATGGCAACCCCAGGAAGCCAGAGAACCTTGGATGGAGACCCCTGCGGCCTGGGCGACTTATTTCTCACCTCTGTGTGTTGATTGTAATACCTCTCTGGATGGTTCAGCTGGGCTGTGATGTGTGCAGGCATGCTCTGTGAGTTACAGGCACACATAAGAAAGGAGAAATACGAGTTCATTTGTCAGCCTGTAAGGGGTGCCAAGTAGCATGCTGTTTTCTCAGTGGGTCTGCAAAGCACAGTGACTATTTTACGCAAAGAGAAATCATGTATTCAGAAGGTAAGCAACTTGTGTGAGTTACAAGGAAGCCCGGGCTGGAATCCTCAGACTCAAGGACCATCCATCTTAATTACTGAGTTACACCAAAGCAACCCAGCGCATCAAGAGACCTCATTGGAAACAAAACCAGGACTGTTCAAAAGGAGGCACAAGGAGAAAAGTAACCAAGAGAAAAAAAAAAAAAGGCTCGGGGAAAATGAGGCCAAGGCCTCCTTCTCTTCCTTTTATAGTCAAGTTTGACTCACTCTCAGGCTCCCCGGCCACTCTATTTTACATCCCTGTGTTTTTCAAATCAACTTGAAATTTCTCAATAGCATTACACTGTAATAATTAGAGTGGTTGGTGATATATCACAGGAGCCTGTTTCTTGCATACTGTATTTTTCTGAGATACCTACTTTAGAATTTAAACAGTGTTTGTTACTTGTACATATTAATGAGGTTCAAGGTGCTTTTTTTCCTACCTCCTGTGTGGGCTCATCCAGTCTAACCCCCTCCATTTCTGTGCCTGCCTACCCTCCCCTGGCTCTATTCTACTTTCAGGTCAACTTTGGTTCTTTCAGAGGGGACATTGTTCTTACCCTCCTGTGTCTGGCTTGGCTCACTTCATACCATCCCCCTCCCCCCAGTTCCGCCCATTTTGCTGCATGTTTTATGATTCTGTGGGTGTCTAAGGCTGAAGAATGCTGCCTCGTGTCCACAGGCCATATTTCTCCACCCGATCACCTGCTGCTGAGCACTTAGGCTGAAGGGGTGTCTCGGCTGCTCTGACACGGCTGTGACAAGCACGGGCATGCAAGAGTCTCTTCTACATGCATTTTTGCCTTTAGCACTGCTGTGCTTTTGTTTTGTGCTTAGGGGAAGAATGAGCAAAAGAAAACGTAGATGAATGCCAGTGAGCTCTTGAGAAATCAGACTCTGGAAGCTGACTGTTGAGGTTTTGACGTGCTATGTGTTGTACGCTGGAGAGAAAGCCTTCCAGTCACTGGGGGCCTGTGAAGAGAATCTTGAGACCTTGTGGCCTCGTTTTCATCTCTCTCCTTTAGCCCTAACCACCATAAGGCACACAATCTTCTTCTTTTTTTAAGATTTATTTTTATTTATATGTATGTGGGTATCTGTGGAGGCTAGAAGAGACCAGATCCCTCTGAGCTGGAATTACAGACGGGTGCTGGGGACTGGACTTGATTCCTCTGTAAGAGAAGCAAGCCTTGTTCCTGAGTCTGCATCTTTCCAGGCCCAAAGAGCACAGCTCTGTGCAATCACCGTTTGCCACCAGAGGCCCCAAGCAAGGAGGGCAACCTGTCAAAGATGAAAATCTTTGCAACTTTTGAGTGTCTTCGTTACTCTTCTATGCAGTGAGGAGACATCATGACCAAAGCAAATCTTACAGAGGAAATCATGTAACTCAGGGCTTGACTACTCCCTCAGAGGGTTAGTCCAGGAACAATCACGGCAGGTAGCATGGCATTGGGCAGGCCGGCACAGTGCTAGAGCAGGAGTGGTGAGCTCACGTGCTCCTCAAGTTGCAGGCAGAGAGAGTGTGTGTGACTAGGCCTGGTGTGGGCTTTTGGTACCTCAAAGCTGACCCCTTGTGACACAACTCCTCAAACAAGGCCAACCTACCCAATTAGACCACGCCTCCTAATCCTTCCTAAGCAGTGCTACCAACTGCAGACCAAGTCTTCAAACACATGAGCCTATGGAGGCCATTCTCCTTCAAACCACCACCACCAGCGAAAATACAATGCTTTGTTTGTTGAGAGAGGATTTCTCTGTGTAGCCTTGGCTGTCCCAGCCTCACTTTGGTAGGCCTGGAACTCACTGACTGCCTCTGCCTCTCTGAGTGCTGGGATCACAGGCGTGTGCCACCACACCCGACCTCTAAAAGCCAATCCTTATGAGTTGATTATTTCATTTTTTTTTACAGTAATGGATAGCCCACTCAGACATCATAAAACAGTTTTTAAACTGAAATCATACTCAAAAAATAATGCCACGCTATTGAAAGCATCCAGAATCATACCTATTTTCATATTCTGTAAATGGGTGCATGTATACATTTCTGTATTTACAGCTGCATCATCTAGTCTCTTGAATAATCATTGGTTTTCCTTTGACGGTGTCATGAGGCAATTTCTACATTGCCACAGTTGCCTTAATTCTAATATTAGTGTTCCTTGGGGTGGCCTGGTGAGGCCTACCTATTACCATATTTGTTTATTTAGTGCTAGAAACTGACTCCAGGACTCGTGAATACTAAAGTTCATCTTTTACTACTAAGCTGCACCCCTATTTTGATCACCTCATTTAAAACAGGACCCATGTCTGCCTCCAGCCAGCCCTGCAACTCTATCCCTGCTTTATGTCCCCGACCCCAAATAAAGCCTGTAGGAATACATGCGATTGCTTCGGAGATCCTGGGCATTTTAATGTCAGGGTCCTGAGAGGCGTTTTTAAACAGAGACAGGCTTTCTGAGGACTTCGTTTTAAAAGTGGTTTTTAAAACCAGCATTTCTCTTCTATCACTCACAAAAAAAGTTAAAAAAAAAAAAAAAAAAGCAAACTCATGCTTTAGAAAACAGTTTCACCAAATCCTATGTTGGGGCTTAGAATGGAATCAGTGAGACCTACTTGGCAGGTTTAACCTATATATGAGTAAGTGATAGATGAATAAACAAGACGTTATCAGTTAGTCTGTTCAGAAGAGACAGGGGGTCAGGGTCCTAAAAGTCTTTGCTAGTGTTTAGCCACCCAGATTTAGCAATCTCAACGAGTAGTCAATACTCAGTAGTACTCAGTAGTACTGAGTACTCAGTACTCAGTAGTCAGGTTTTTGTTTCAATATAACAACATCCCTGAGGCTAGGTAATTTATACGGAGAAAATGTGTTCATGTATCTAACATTTGTGGCTGTTCAAGGACACGGCGCTAACATTAGGTGGACTCTGAAGAGGGCTCATGGTGGAAAAAATGTATGGGGAAGAAATCACACAATGAGACAGGCAACCGGAGCGCTTGGTGGGCCGGGAGTTTTAAACAGTCTTAACTCAAGCACTCTCTTGAGAACTGCCTTCATCTCGGGGGTAGGCTCTTATGCCCACAGCCCTCCCTCACAATTCCGCAGCCTTCCCAACACCTTCTCACACAAGAGCCCCTGGGTGGCTATATCCAAACCATAGCAGTCAGGGAGGTCCTCCAGCACAGAGGTTTTCAGACATGTGTGAATAGTACCTGTTGATACCTAGAGATATTTTGTAAATCTCTCTTTCCTCAGCAGAGTTGTGTCTGTACAGGCTCAGGACATTGGAGCTGTTGTAGAAACAGCGTAGAAACAGCTTAGGGTGTTA